CCCGCGTGCCCTCATAACCGTCAGCTAAAATTTAAAAAAAGGAAAGAAACTATAGAGACAGACATAGACAGAAAAAAGGAAAACGAACCGGAAAAAAATGAAGGAAGGAAAGACAAATTGAAGATAAGATATCGAGAAAGACGGGGAAAAGCGAAAGAAAAGAAATTCCAAATAAAGACACAAAATACTTCTTTGTTTAATAAGCAAGGAAGAATTTTTACGTTGCACTTTGTATTCTTATCTAATTTTACCGTAACCAATCTTTAATCCTTTGACCTCTTTTCATTAAACCCCATTTGAAGGATCAAGAAGAGGGAATGTACGGCAAGATGAACAAAGCCGATTTGGGGTACATCGACGACGCTCCTATTTTGTTGTCAGCTCCAAGGTCAAAGGTCAAGGTTACGCTCAAGGACAACGAGAAGATTGTGGAGCACGCCACCGTCTGTGTGGCTGATCGCAATTCGCCTGCGGCGGGAGTGCTCAAGTGCAGAGGTGGAATGTGGACGAAAATGGGTAAGCATCCCAAATGTTGTTCCAAACTTCATTCCTTTTTTTAAAATTTCTTTTTCTTTCTTTTTTTGGTAGGGGCTTAACGAAGCTCGCAGCTCCATAAGGTCATAATATGAGCGCACGTCACACATTAAACATTTTAAATTTTGGTAGGAATTAATTTCAAACTGCTCTAAACAAAAGTTGCTTCAAATGGGACCAAAGACACGTAGAACTTGAATTCTGATCAATGGCAAACAAAGAACGAATTTTTCTCTCTTCACTAACGTGAGAATATGTATCCAGTTATTGCTAACGAAAGATCTTGTCGGTTTGTAAGTATTTGAGCGTTTAATCGGCTGCTTGAACTCTATGCTACCCGGGAAGCTGAATGTGTTTCTGAGCGTTCTACGCTTTATTGGGGAAATAGCAGATCGTTATGGGTATAGAGCTTGCTGTTGGGAGGGGAAATCAATGATTAGGAAAATAGAGATCTCTCTCATCTCATCTTATCTTGTCTTATCTTATCTAATGTGATCTTATCTTATAAATGTTATTTACAATTGTATTTGAACGCACCCTCAGATGTCCCTGAAACCCCTCGGAATGTCGGAAGAGCTTTGATTCTTAGGCGGTTCAAACGAGGTTGGCTTTCTGACGTTTTGGATGGACTTAAATGCCTTGCTACGTGCGCGTTTGGCTCTTGCTATAAATGCTGCAATGGATGTCCTCGTGAGTACTAGGCTACAGTAGTGAACATACATCTTGAGGCATGCATGCTGTTAATCTCTTTTCTTGTGCTATCCTTCTGCACGTCGGCCAGGTTCAGTGCACACTAATACGTCTGCCTATTGGAAACATGTCGCATCGTCACACTGCCCCACTGTCACACTGTCACATAGCCACACTGTCATATCGTCGCAAGGTCACATGGAAAAATTGTCAAAAGGTCACACCGTCACAAGGTCATACAGTTACACCGTCACACGGTCACATCCTCACAAAGTGACACCGTTACTTAGTGGCTGAAATTATAACCCTAGAGTGACAATGATGAAGATATTAATTTTCAACAAGTTAAGCTTCCGAAAGTTTAAGGGATGAGGGTACCTGGAGAGACGAAAGGGTCCAAATCTTAATAAAAATTTCAAATTACCAGCAAGAAACAAACAGAGCTCACCCACATTGTTCCGGGCTCCCAATTCAAGAGATCATTGAATGGTAACATTCATACACCACCATTTCTCTGTCATACAAGTGCCATCTTTTTCAGTATTTTCGTTTTGACGTCCGTTCAGTCGACAGACTGGCTGGAGAGGCCACATCAGAGTACTATAACAGTTCAACCAGACAAGGTCGAAATCTTGAAATGTCTCTCTCACCACCTGATTGAAGAGGAAGATAAGGAGGCAGAGGCCACTACTGCTGTGGAGAGGATGTTGGTTTGAGGAGTACAGAAAGGAAAGCGGAAAATATGGTACCCTTGCATGAGAGAGCAGTAGAACGTTCAACCACACACACACTGGCACAATCAGTAGAAAGACCCCCAGCAACATTGGGGAGAGAGCAACAGAGCATCAATGGACGGGTCCGGAATGCAAGGATGTTGCTTCTTGAAACAATGAACTATGAATCAGTCCTCTTTCTTTCTGATACGTGAACCTAGGGTCTGGCAACGAAACACAGATCCCTAAACAACCACGTTGAAGGACATCCATCGAAAGGAAACCCCTTTTCCACAGGCTGGGCATTTGCATGATACAAACAAGCCATCTTTACTCTTCTTGCAAATGTAAATGGTTTGCACTCCAGTAGACACAATTTAAAGCGGGCTGCGTCGACCTTACCTTTAAGAGTTAAACCGGGCTGAGAGTCTCAGCAGACAGGTGGAAATACCAGATAAAAAACCTCTCCTCAGGAATCAAACGCACATTTGCGTGAATGGCGAAGCGTCCGACCGCTGCATCGCAGAAAGAAATAACTTCCAAGACGTATCCATTGGCGGGTTTATGCAGAAATGAATCCCAGTGCAAAGAAATTCTCTCTCTCTCTCTCTCTCTCTCTCTCTCTCTCTCTCTCTCTCTCTCTCTCTCTCTCTCTCTCTCTCTCTCTCTCTCTCTCTCTCCCTCCCTCTCTCTTCTTCTTCCCCCCCCTCTCTCTCTCTCTCTCTCTCTCTCTCTCTCTTTCCCTCTCTCTCTGTCTCTCTCTCTGTCTCTGCCTCCCTCTCCTTTTGTCGCTCTCTCTCAAACTTACTCAGACTCTGAGCGTGAATGTGTCTGTCTCTGCCTCTGTCCGTATCTTGGAACTTGTTACGACTCGTCTCTTTTATTGGCTGGGAAGTACTAAGATTTAATACCTTACTGCGGGAAGTACTAAGATTTCAACCTCACTGCGAGACTGTTTTTCTGGTATAAAATTTTACACATATGCATTTATATTATATGTATAATACTTTGTTTTACGTACACATTTGTGTCGATTAATTTTTAAGATGTGATGTCTTTTTCATTGTAATGCGCATTGAGCATATTTTAGGAAATGGAAATGCGCAGTATAAATGCTATTTATTATTATTATTATTATTATTATTATTATTAATATTGGGTCCTCATACCCAACCCAGCGCGTCCCCGGGTGGTGGATAGGGGAAAGGCCTCCAGATAATATGGAGGTTAGCTGCTAAGCAGTCGTGAACCAAATGGGAGAGTACAGGGGAACCCTGGTGGCACAGGTGCCTCAATAAATACCTCACACATTCGAAGAAGGGACTACTTGGCGACGGGAGACGCCATAGATCCTACCAAAGCCCCCACTGCCTTGTGGGTTGTCAGTGGATGACAAAGGCTAGCATAGAAAACTGTACGCAAACCGGCAGTAGGCAAGGGGAAACCACTGCTGTAATATCCTAAGAATAGCCATGGAAAAGTACATTCATTTATCAGATAACAGCGTTAAGGGGGTTCATAATCCAGCTCTGAACTCCCGCTCGGTAGGGACCGCAACGGGCAGCAGGTGGCGCCCGATCGTCATCCAGCTTCTAGCTGCAAAAATAAGTAACTTAACATAGCCACATGGAATGTAAGAACAATGTACCAGAAAGACAAATTAGATAATATAGAGCAGGAAATGGATAGATGAAGCTAAATATGTTAGGCCTTTCAGAAGTTAGATGGGAGGGGGCAGGCCTGATTAAAAGAGGCTCCAAAAACAATTATATATTCAGGAGGAAAACCCATGAAAGAGGAGTCGGAATTTTATTTGACGAAGCAACAGCAAAGAGTATCAAAGGTTTTTGGGGAGTGTCAGATAGAGTCATCGTGGCTAAATTAGAGGGAAAACCTTTTATATGCCCCAACATCAGAGCACGACAACGAGGAAATTGAGACTTTTTATGAAGACCTTGATAAGGCAATGAAACAGTTAAAATCACAAGATGTAAAGATAGTCATGGGAGACTTTAATGCCAAAGTAGGAAGTACACGTATGGAAGATATAGTTGGGCAATGGGGACGAGGTAAAAAGAATGAATGCGGGGAACGACTGGTTGAATGGTGCAGAGAAAATCATTTTATGATATCAAATACCTGATATGAAAATCACCCAAGAAGACTATGCACTTGGAAGAGTCCTGGCGAAAGAAGTAGAAATCAAATAGACTTCATACTTATTCAGAAACGTTTTAGAAACACAATAAAACCATCTAAATCACTGCCAGGAGCAGACTGTGATAGTGACCATGTAACAGTCATGTGAAAAATGCAGATAAGACTAAAGACACTCAGAAAGTCAAAGTATCAACCTAAATTTGACATAGGTCTTTTAAAGACAAATCAAGAACTGAAAGAACATTTCTCCATAGATGTAAGCAATAAATTTCAAGCCTTGGAAAACATTACTAAATCGGAAGTACTATGGAGGAAAATAATAGACTCAATAATGGAAGCTGTGGAAGAAAATATCTCCCCGAAAGCTAAAAAAGCTAATAAAAAATGGATGACCCAGGACATCTTAAAACTAATGGAAGAGAGAAGAAAGGCAAAATCAAATGTGGAAAAGTACGTAGTCTAAACAGCCGTATGCACTGCTCACCGTCGAACGCTCCGTATCCCGGACTCTAGCATGGAGATCATCAGGAGAGAATGCGTCGCTGTTTCGGGCTCTTCCTCTCTACAGCTTTTCTGACGCACCGAGCCCCCTCACCGATGTGAGGTCTCCATGTTAGTTCGACTGTTTTCCTCTGCTGCCAACTTTAGGATTCATTCCAGCCTGAGTCCTCTCGCTTCAACCAGATCCAATGACTGGCTTTCTCTGCTGTCTCCTGAAGGGAGTTTGTGAGTTCGTTGCTTTTCTTTGCAGTAAGTCCTGCCACTCTCATCCACTTACGGCGCTTGTTGCTACAAAACCTCTGCATCCTACCTCTACCGGAAAATGGGTTGCCTTCCATCCTGCCTCCTCACATTGTTCGACGAGTGCCTCGTAACGGTTTTCTTTCCGCTCATGAGCGGCATAGATATTGTCCTCGTGGGGCACCGTGAGCTCTACCAAGTGTACCTCTTTGTCTTTTTCCTCCCATAACACAATGTCTGGCTTTTTCGTAGTTGGAATGGGGAAGAATCTCTCAAAGCCTTTTAAGTCAGCAGCTACTTGCCATGTGCCTCCGCTCTGGTCTTTCATGGCTTCGTTCGCTTAAACAGGGAAATAAAGAAAAATTGCAACGAAGCAAAATAAACATCGATCTGAGTCAACAAATAGAGAACAACCAAAACAAAGACAGTAAATACATGCATTCCAAAATCAAAGAAGTAAGTGGGATAAAGGGATGCTCAAATACAGGATGCATAAGATCAAAGGGAGGGGATATTTTAATGGACAACGGGGATGTCTTAAACAGATGGTCAGAATACATAGAACTTTTCAAAGATAATAGAGGAGAAAAACAGGTAATAAAGAATGAAATAAATGGACCACCAATACTGAAAGCAGAAGTACAAGCTGCCATTAGGAAAATGAAACAAGGAAAAGGCCAGATAATATTCCAGTTGAAGTGATTGTCGCGCTTGAAGAACCAAGCACTGAAATAACCTCAAAGCTCCTAAATGCTATTTATGACAGCGGAGAGATCCCAGAAGATATGATGAAGTCAGTTTTTATAGCTTTACCTAAAAGACCAGGTGCCACAGAGTGTGATATGCATAGAAAAATTAGCCTTATGAGTCATTTTACAAAAATATTGCTGCGAGTAATAATGAGAAGATTGAGAAAACGTGTAGGACCAGAGATATCTAAAGCGCAATTCGGCTTTGTTCCTGACAAGGGCACCAGAAATGCTATATTCACCTTAACAATGTTAATGGAAAGATGTATTGAAGCACTGAAAGATCTATATTTATGCTTCATAGATTATACAAAGGCATTTGATAAAGTTAGACATGATGAGCTATTTAAAATACTGGAAAAAGCTAGACATAGATGGAAAAGATCTAAGAATTGTCATAAATTTGTACTGGGACCGAAATGCAGCAGTACGAATTAAAGGGGAAAATACAATGAATATAAACAGATTAGGCGAGGAGTGAGGCAAGGATGTGTTATATCACCAGACCTCTTTAACATGTACGGTGAAGCAATCCTTAGAAACATAGAAG